TGTGTGTGTGTCTATATATATATATATATATATATAGCCAGAAAAATAGCATCTTTTGTGACTGTATTATTTTTCTAAGTGAGTTTGTCTTTCTGCAAATTCCGAGTTAATTTATTGCCAGCAATTGCAATTTTGTGTTTCACAAAATTAAATTTTCAGGCATCTTTTATAAAGAGAAGGCAATTTTGATGAAAAATATCTTCATTATCATGGCAGATTTCACAATCTTTTTTACCTTATTGTGGTATGTGGTATACTAGAAAACAGTCATATTTTGAAATTTCTCTTGGTAATGTAGGTCAAAATTAGGAAGTTTTGCTATTGATCAGTTACAGCACTTATAACAGTCGCCACTTCTTAAAACTTGTAGTCACTTAAAAAAAATTGGAAATTTTAAGCAATTAATAAAATTGTTGATCTTAATAATGTAACAGATTTTTTCTTAAACATTTTTCAAAATATGGTAGACATTACAGGGTTCCAGGGTGCATAGCGTTTTTTAAAAGTGCTTAAAGATGCTTATTTTTGATTTTCGTTTTTTAAATGCCCTTAAAGGTGCTTTTTTCATTGGATGTTTTTAAAAAGTGCTTAATTTTCCCTTTACCATGTTGATTTTCACTTCGAATTATGCAAAAAGACACAGTTCACATTGTTTTATTCAACGTTTTCACTATTAATTCAACCACAGTCTATTTCGGGGTATTGTCGGTCCGTAGCGTATGAAAACTCCATTAGTTTTACATGATTCAAAATTTCAAAAACAATGCTAAAATTTATAATTTTTTTTTTTTGACATGACAGTTAAAACAAGATTAAACCGTCAATTGTCAAAAACTTTCCAACCCTGCTGCATTATGATATGTTTTTAAAGTGCTTGAAAATATTTTTTGAGTGCTTGAAAAGTGCTTAATTTTTGTTGAATAATTTGGCTATGCACCCTGGGTTCATTTCTAAAATGAAGAAAAGTTTTTAGAGACAAGCGTGAAATAAAGCAGAAATAATATCAGATTATAAAATATTCAAAATAACTCCATATTTATTAAAAAAAAATAATAAGATATACATTGGTTGCATTTTCACTGAAAAAAGTGACAAGATTGGCAACTGCATACAATTTATTAATAGCTATTTAATATATTTAATTGCCCTGTGGCGACCATTAATTTTACTCTCTATCTTGCAAGAAAAAATGTTATAAAATATTATCATTGGTTGAAAGGTAGCATAAAAAGGTTGCTTGATCTTTTTTTTTAAAATTTAGAAGAAAGAAAAAATCTATTTGAACTGAGTGACACTGTTAAGAAGCACTTTGCGTATGAAGAATAGTGTATGCCACAAGGTTCAGCTTGTGGCTACTGTGTAGCATGTGATTCAAGATAAATTTAAATAAAATGCTGCAATTGATTTTAGGATACATAAAGTTTTTAACTCTGGAAGATATAGAAGACTTGTTTTATTCTGGCACCACAGTCATTTACTTTTGTTTATATTGAAATTGGTCATTGTATTGTTTACTTACTATAATTAACTTTTAATTTTTTAAGCATTTTTAGTTAATAAACTACTATTGGTTGTTAAAATTAGATATTGTTGTTGAGGCCCTTCTGCTACATTATTTTAAATTATACATACATATATTATTTTTCATTATGTTTTATTTTTTACTTAGTATTGCACATTGTGTTATGTTATACATTACCTTTTAAAAATGTAAAATTATATTTTCACTAAGTTAAACTTTTTGAGTAGTCTTACATATTTTTGTGTATTTTAGATTGTATAATTGAGCATTTAATATTTTTTTTTTGGTTGAGCAATTTAATATTATATAATAATTTAGTACTATTTCCTATAAAAATCTTTACTAAAAACAAACAAGTTTAAACCCTAAATTTACACAATTCAGCATACTAAATTGTATAATAAAAGTAATCGAATGTTTTCATTTGAAAAGGGGAAAGAAAAAAAAATTCCTATGTGAAAACTTAACGAAATTCTTAAACACAATTCATGTTTTATGTTATACATTTATATATAAATCAAAAGTTGTTGTGAAATATATATTAATTGCATACTTATTGGCATAAAATAAACTACAATGCTCTTCACGAGAGGCCTAATTTTGACATCTTTTGCATTAATTATATCTTAAAAATTTTGATTTTCTCTCAAAATCATTAGCACATAAATTTTCATTTGACTCAGCTTTTTTGTTTTTATAATTTATATTTCTTTAGAAATTTTAATGAATTTCATTTATTTTTTAAACTAAAGTTGGTAAACTGACATTTTCGCTTATTTATTATTGTGAGTATCACAATTCTTTTAAAAATGTTTAAATTTAAAAAAAAATAGCATTTTTGTTTTTACAGTTTACTTCAGTGGTAAAGTCTCCATGAAAAATTTTAAATATTTTTAAAAATGAAATGAAGTTGAAACATTAACTTTTTATTATTATTATTGTTTATTATTGTTCGTATTTCAAATTGTTCATTTAAGAACTGTTGTGAAAATATTTTTCCTATGATTAATAATTTTTGCATTACTTTCAAGCTGCAAAATTTGAAATAACAAACAAACTGCTATTCGATAGTTATTTTAAACAGAATGTGTTTTGAGGATACTGCATGCCTTAACTGCTATTAAAGGATGTTAATAAAAATAAATAAAAACTTGTTGCAACTTGAAATTTAATAACAGTTCTTCATATATATATTTATTTCTACTACTTTTCAAAACACATTGTATTGCAAAAATTCTTTTTTGATGATTTATTTTATTTATTTCATGTCTTAATACTAGTCTGTTTAAAAGCATTTGTTTATTGTGTGGAATTGTTATTTTAGTGTGATTGCGAATTAGTAACTTGACATACTCTTGATATCCAAATAAAATGTGTAAACCATAAATGTTAAAACCATTTTAAGTTTTAAAACTTTGTGTAAAACTAAGCATTCACAACATGTTTGTAATCTTTCTTGTAAAGAAATAAAGTATTTAATTTAATAAATTTTGTTGTTAAAAAATTATTTTTATTAAAAAAAATTAACACAGACTAAATTTGGAGTATAAAATAACTTATAAAATTACGAATGGAACAAAAGAGGCGATGTCCTGAATCCCTTTTTAATTCAGTATTGGAAAATATATACACTAGAGCAGTGTTTCCCAACGTGGGGCCCACGCCCCACTGGGGGGCATTTTGATTGTTAAGGGGGGAAATTCGAAAATTGACTCGACACGAGTTAAATCCTTTTGTTCCGGGCCATTTAAATGCAATGCTAGATTTCTGTGCCAAAATTGAAAAAAAAAAAAAGAAGCAAATTCTTAAATAATTGAGGTCAATAAATATTACGTGACTTAGCGATTTTTTAGGCGACGAACCCGAAATGAAGTATCTGTTAACAGTCGATGGTAAAGCATTTGTGAGTTATTTAGCCGATATCTTTGAAAAACTAAACATATAAAATAAGGAACAAATGAAACTCTGTTTGATGCAAAAAACGAAGATATTTGGTTTCATTACCCTTATTGAGTTATCTCAGAAATATATTAACAACAAAAACTTTGAACAGTTTCATTGGCTCCAAAAATGTGAAGTAAATGATACAGCTTTACTTGTTATTGTCGATCATCTGAAAATTCTTTCGGCTGATTTAAAAGAAACATTTTCTGATTTAAAACAAATTGATTTTCCAAAACGGATGATGCAGTCAATGTTAGTGGATTTGTCTGATATATCAAATATGCAGTATCAAGAAGAACTCATAGAAATGCAAAATGATGAGTCACTTAAAATTTTATTTAATATAAAAGGAGTGATGGCATGGCTTTGTGAGGAAATAGAAATCAAATACCCAAATGTGCAAGAAAACTATTGTTACAGTTTCCATTTTCATATTTAGCTGAATGTGGATTTAGTTTTGTAAATGATTTACTGGTAAAAAAAAGAAATCGCCTGGATGTAATACAACGGGGAGACTAGAGACTAAATTGGAACATAAAATCTCTGTGCATCAAACATTCAGCGCAAGGATCTCAATAAATTAAAATATTAAATTATTATAGAAAAATTTTAAAATTATTTCGATTTTAAATTTAGTTCTTCATTATATGTTTTGAAAATTTACCTACTGTTAACAATTTCCTTGTGATTCGTTCCTAAAACCTATATTTTAAGCTACTTAAGTGAACAATTCAATTTTTTAATATTAAAATTTCTGGATATGTTACATAGAGGGGCATAGGAATTTTAGAAAGGATTAGGTGGGGCATGGCACAAAAAAGGTTGGGAAACACTGCACTAGAGGAACTGTCTTTATTGAGTGGGTAAAATTAATTAAGGAAGGGGATAGAGCGTTCGCCTTCCAATGAGGTGAACCGGGGTTCGATCCCGGCGATGGCTGGTCGATACGAATTCCGCATCCGGCTTGCACCGACTACAGTGCTGACGTGAAATATCCTCAGTGGTAGACAGATCATGGGTTAGAGTCCCCTTGCCGTCAGGCTAACCGTGGGAGGTTCTGGACTTTTACATCCCTGAGAAAGAACGGAAATTATGTATGTATTAATAAGTTAATTACAACTTATTAATAAGAAATTAATAAGTTGTAAAAATTAACTACTATGACAAGTTGAAAAGTAGACAATATCGAAGACGCAAAAAAGCAATTAGACAGGCACTAGACATAATTTGTTATATATATATACGAGGGCTATCTATAAAATAAGGTTCCCAAGGAGCTGCGGACGTCAGGAACGCAGTTAAACGGGGTTTGGTGGGACTGGCGTATAACTTGACTCCCTTTCCCCCAGTTCCCGCCCCGGCGAGCTATCTACAACGTTAATTCTTGTCTTGGTAGCCGTGAAAGATAGAGCTTCCATTTGTTTCTCCCGCCAGGTGTAAATTACGCTCTGTGATTTGTTTTTGTGCGCAAAAAACGTTCCTCCGGTGAACATTCATTCCCAACTGTGTGAGGTGCACGGGGAAAAGTGTATGAGTGTGTGCAAAATGTGCGCAAATGGTGCAGAGAATTCAAAGACGGACGTACAGACGTCCATGACGAACAACGTTTTCGGACGAAGCGTTTGCGAAAGTGGAAGAAGCAATGCTGAAAGATCGAAGGGTGGCGGTTCGAGACCCTAGCGAGATGATCCCTGATGTCAGTAAGTCCTGCATTCACAACATTTGGAGAGACAGCTTAGGATATGCCAAGGTTTGTACTTGGTGGGTCCCGATAATGCTGACGGATGACAACAAATGGCAACGTGTGGAAGCAGTCCGCGAATTTCTCCATGCCTACGAAACCGATGGCGATGAATTTTTGGACTCTGTTGTCACTGGGGATGAGACCTGTGTTCACTACATGACACCGGAAACAAAAGAACAATCCTGTCAGTGGAAACATCCAGGCTCGCCGAAGCCAAAGAAGTTTAAGGAAATTCGGTCAGCCAGCAAAGTGATGGCGAATGTCTTTTGGGGCAGGGAAGGGTTGCTGTTGTGCGAATTCCTGCCTACGGGCACAACAATTAATGCTGATCGCTACTGTCGGACGTTTAAGAACCTTCGGTGCGTGATTAAAAACAAGAGGAGAGGCATGCTCACAATTGGAGTGCGTCTCCATCAGGACAACGCTCGTCCACACACCGCCCGTGTCAAAACTGATCTCATCAACAGATTTGGATGGAATACTGTCACACATCCCCCTAACTGCCCAGACTTGGCCCCAGTGATTACAATCTCTTCCCTGAATTAAAGAAACACTTGGGAGGGACGCATTTCACAACCGACGAAGAGCTGAAGGAAGAGGTTTCAAGCTATCTTCGTGACTCGGCGGCAGATTTCTACGACTCGGGCATAAAGAAGATGGTACACTGCCTGTAAATATGCATTGATCTTAACGGCGATTATATCGAAAAAAAGAGGGAAGTCTAAGCTTTCGAAACATGTTTTATTCAATGCCAATAAACATGTTTTTCATTGTGAAAATTCGTTGGGAACCTTATTTTATGGACAACCCTCGTATATCGCCTCCAGGACGACATTTCCTGAAGTTCTAAGAAGCGTAAGTATGGATCATTGAAAAGTAAGTCATCCATTATTTTTCAAAAGTAGAAAATTTTTAATTATTGGGTTGACTTGTTTGAATCCTAAGAACACACTGCTGTGGAAGTGCAGCTTTTAAATAAAATGTATTAGTTATTTTGAGCATATATACAGTTTTATACAAGATGTTTTATTTATCTGTAGACATTTGAAGCACCACCAGGAGTACCCCCCTATTGTGTGTAGTCTAAAGACCTTTATTATTTATGACACTGTCTGTTTCTGTAAAACGAATTGGAGGTTGAGGTTCATCTATGTCAGAGGAAGGTTACTGACTACTTAACATCCAAATGTTTTATACTGTGGAAATGTTCTATTTTCAGTTTTAAGTAGCATGGATCAAAGATTTTCAGAAACCAAAGAATCGTTTTCCACTTCATTCTTGGGATAATATTCGGAATCGTTTGTTTTTCGACGGGATGGCAACAGCATAAGAGACCAAGGTTGTTCGTCACTCGAAGCAAATATCCCAAATATGATGGCTGTGATGAGACCAAGTATTCCACAGGGTATTAAAACAATTTTCCAATCACCGTGCTCCTGAAACGACAAACATTTAAATAACACTTTAAATGAATGTTGCAGTTAGAAAAAATATGGATTGCATTTTTAAAAAAAAACTAGATCAAATTTTTTTTCTCCAAAATATTAATTTCTGAGCAAATTTAAAAAAAGAATTGAAAATACGGTTGTGACTGGCAGAGTGGCTGATCATTGTTGATTATGCTGGTAGGTGGATAATTGAAGACGAATCATTAACACACATTAACACGAAATAACAAAGCACTACTGGAAATAGCAACCTAGCTATCAAAAAAGAAATATATTAACTCATTAACGATCGGTTAATTTCGAAGAAAAACTATTATAAAAGTGCCTATTTTTTTTCTCCTTGTGTCCCTGATTAGTGTTGGCATCTGATTTAAAATAAACTTACTATCTACAATTACCTTAAAAATATCCTGGTACTGCCATCTGGAGTGTAAAATGAGAAATAAAATGTTTTCCGGCCAAAAGAAACGAATTAGTTTTATTCTTATTGGCGCGTTACTACTGAACACTCCAGCCCGGAAATAACACGGGAGCGAGAAATAGAGGGTGAAACCTCACCCCGTCATTTTCACGGGAAAGGGAAAGGTAGGAAGGGGTTAAATAGAAATTAAATTGGTATACATGGTTGCATCGTCACGGGGTATTACCATGCAGCCAGTGCGGGAACAGTTTCAACAATTGGCGGTATTTTACCACAAACAATCATACTGCTCCAAGAAAAATAAAATAAAGCAACAGCAAGTCGGATGAGGAATACACACCGAAATAGTCAGAATTGAAGTTGAAGCTCTTTACACACACACACACACACACACGCACGCACGCACGCACGCACGCACGCACGCACGCACGCACGCACGCACACACACACATATATATATATATATATATATATATAAAGAATAATTTGATAATAACAGCAAATTCTTTTCCAATTTAGAGGAGATCATAGTTGAAATTCATTTAGCAACCTTTTCCTGTCCTGCAGTACAGTTATGGGCGTCGCAGGGGTCAATTTTTGAGGGGGTGAAATGAACATAAACTGTCATTATAGTTCTTTAGATTCCACTCAAGAAAAAAATATTTTCCTTATGAGCTAAATACTGGCAAAAAGGTTGATTATTTTAATCTTTTAAAGGTTAAATATACGTCTTTTTTATAATTTTATTTCTCAGGACATATTCAACCGATTTTACTCGAATTTTGTATTTTGCCACGTAAAATTACATGCTTTAAAATCATGTAAGAAACTATATACCTTTCAATAAAATTTTTTTTTCCGAATATTATTAAATAAAACAATAAAAAATAATAAATATATACTAAAATTTATTTTTTTTTTGCATAAAATTATCTTTGGATATATGAATTTTATAAGTGTGTGTAAAATTGTTTTCTATTAAAAAGTTTTCAAGATATGGCAAAATACGCAAAATGTAAAATTAGCATTAAGTTGTCCGAAATTTGGACCATTCTCCTGACGAAACTATGGGGACGATATTTCCCAAATTGTTGCTGTTCCCTATATTTTGGGGATATGAAACCCAAATCATTTGAAGAAATGTATGTTTATTCAGAGAAAGTATGTTTTTGTGTCTGATTTCGAAACTTATCGTCAGCACTAAATAATTTGCATATTTGAGGTCACCCCCTCAAACCATTAAGATTTTTTTTTATTGCAAAAGCACTTGACTTTACATCATTGGCCCCCATGCATCGAAGATGCATGGGATTGGAGCATATAAAACAAAAACTGAACCATTGAACAATACAAGAACAATATAATTACTTGCAAAACGTGAGCCACTTAAACATGAACGAGAATCAGTCGCTGGATACCAAACCATTAAGATTGAGTCCCAGATCGTGAAGATCCGATCATTAGATTGAAAGTTATTCAGGATGGTCCGTTTTTTATTTTGCGCACTATACATATTGCAGAATTGTAGATGCATGCTTTTGTTAAACAAAAAACATATCGAATGTTATTATCAGGGTGGCCATAATGTAATGGCTTTTTGGTGTATATAACTGCTTTGTTGTAAGTGAATTTAATACCGAAAGGGTTAATTACCGACTCCCAATGTACAGGCATTTTTGACTTTATGTTTGACAAAGAGTGTTAAATAATATATTAAGGGTGGTCATAATAAAATACTCACAATAATTTTTATGATAAAATCAAGTGGTTAATTGTGTAGAGTGTCTTTTTCTTATTCTTATGCTTACTTACAATTGAATATCCACTTCCCTCTCCTTTCATTTTCTCCAGAATCGAATCGAATACTATTGCTGAAAGTCTACTCACACTTGTACAGAGAGCTATGGTGATGCTTGCATAGCGAGGAGATATTTCCAGCACAGTTGGTAGGTAACCTAGTATGAGAGATTGATTAATAATGATTATATAATACATTCTGGGCCTTATTCTGTGACTATTAACACTGATTTATTATATTCTGGGACTTATTCACTTATATATTACAGTCTGTGACTTATGACTCAGAATAACACCTGCACCAAGTGTTCTTCTGTGCTTGCATAGCGAGGAGATATTTCCAACACATTTGGTAGGTAACCTAGTATAAAAGATTCATTGGGAATGATTATATAATACATTCTGTGTCTTATTCTGTGACTATTAACTCTTGTATATTATCTTCTGGGACTTATTATATATTACATTCTGTGACTTATGACTCAGAATAACACTTGCACCAAGTGTTCTTCTGTGCTTGCATAGCGAGGAGATATTTCCAACACACTTGCTAGGTAACCTAGTATAAAAGATTCATATGGAATGATTATATAATACATTCTGGGACTTATTCTGTGACTATTGACACTTGTCTATTATATTCTGAGACTTATTCACTTATATATTACATTCTGTGACTTATGACTCTGAATAACAACTGCACCAAGTGTTCTACTGAGCTGGCTTCCCCTGATAATATTCTTGCACACATTCGTAACAGATTGTTAGATAAAAATTATTCAATTAAAAGATTTCTACATTTCTTGGTTTATTAATAAAAATTTGGTTCAAAAATTTTCGGTTTTGATTTTATTGGGATAAAGTTTAAGCGAAATCATTTTATCTTCCGATTGCCATTACAACTCCAATCACAAACGTTTTTTTGTTTAAATTCTTATTTAATTTTTCTCTGTTATAAAATATCGTTTGATATTTTTTCCTCAAAAGATTTTTTAGCAATAGTGCATTAAGTTATTGCTGAATATCGCTTCAGAATTTTAAATTGTAATTTTGTATTCATTATTTTAATTGCATATGCATACCTGCCAACTTTTGATCCCTTCCATTACGATTTTTCCCAGTGGTAGTAAAATGGAATTAAAATTTCAATTGTAAGCAAAAAAATACGTTGTGTTTGAGGAAACATCAGCTGACAACCATGATAGTAACACATATTAATATATAAGCTTAATTTTTGTAAGAATAGTGGTGATCAAAATCATTTAAAAATTAAATTTATAAAAGAAAAAATAGTATATATTTACTACCACTTTAAATATGAAAATAAAATCTCCGTTTAAATACGGGAGAGTTGGCAGGTATGCATATGCGACGACCGACCACGGAGACCGATTGATGCCCTTGTAGAGTAAAGACGTGTCTTATCTCCGAGCGAATAATGCCGTACAACAGAACAGCTCGCGGCGGAAAGGTGCTACCGCCTAGCCGCCCAATCACACCTCAGCAGGAGGAATCGGATGGAGAGTACGTGGATGTTATCGTCTACGATACATATGAAGAAGCCATCAAGGCCAGTAAAGTCCACCCAAAATTCATCATGCATCCAGATTCAACTCAACTTCCAGTTGCATTCTACAGTTGGTTCAGTGATGATGAACTAAACGAAATAAAAGAACTATTTCAGACTTTTCTCAATTCCTGCGAATATGGACAGATTTTCGACCACTTTCAAAAAATGCTTGATACGGTCTTAATAGTTCGCAAGTTGAGGAGAGATAGTAAAAGAAGGGAAGAAAGGAGAAAACAGACAAAAAAGGAGGAACCAATGCCAAGCCATGAAGCTACTAGTGTTCCCGAGCCAACCACTACAACGCCCGAAATTATCACACCAACAGCCGAGATCACCCCTCCCCCCGCGGCGGAAAATATGGAGCTCAGTGTCGAGGCCACGGCCTCAGACTCTGAAAATCTAGAACAACCTCCAGGGAAGAAGAGGAGAAAGAGGAAGAAGAAGCAAAGCAAAGCAAAATCAGCAAGGCAGAAAACCAACTCTTCAGCCTCGGATCCTACTACTATCCCGGCAGTTACAAACAAAGCCCCCACGGAAACAACGAAGGAGAACACCAGTGAAAAGACTGAGACAACTACAGACGAGAAAGCTCAACCCAAGTTCCTAAAAGTTCTTATTCGAGGCCTCCCAAAGGACTTTGATACTGCAGAAATTTCTCTAGAATTAGGGAAGCTAAACATAGAAGTCTACAAAGTGATCCAGTTTCAGAAAAGGGTGGGTGGAGCCATTAGGCTCCTCCCACTTTTCCTAGTCATCTTGCCCACGCTAGCCAATCACAAGAAAGTTTACTTCACGGAGGAGATCAAGAATCACCCGGTTAGCGTAGAGAGATTTCACGGCGGCCGGCGGCCGCTACAATGTTTCCGATGCCAGGGCTACGGACACTCTCAGCGTACGTGTACAGAAAATCTAAGATGCATGAAATGTGCCGAAGGGCATTTTTCCTATCAGTGCACTAAGAGCCGAGATACTCCAGCAACCTGCTGCAATTGTGGAAATAGCCATACATCCAACTTTACTGGGTGCGAGGCCCGCCCCAGTAAAAAGAATATCCAGACCAAAGCCAAGACTCCTGCAACCACAGCCCATCGACTTGTATCACTAGTGAAGGAGTTACAAGATCTCATGAAAGACCAGGAAGTGGTGTCCCTGCTACAAACGCTACTAAAGGGGGTCTCCCCTTCCAACTGATGCCTCATCCCTTCAATCGACGTTGAACTCCATCAAAGACTAAATTCTGAACTTTACAGTTTACCTTTTTAAGGTTAACTTAGGACTTTTTAGCTTATGACCATATAGTTTCGACGAATCGGTGAGTGGCGCTTCGCGCCAATATACCGAGATGTATTTGATTCATAGCTCATAGCTAGGTATGCATATGCTTCCTAAACACAGTTTTACAGTTTACCCCGAGAGAGAGGATGGAGGAAAATTAATAAAAGTAAATATATACTTAAAAGTATGTACAACTTATTTATCTTTCAATAATTATAAAACGGGAACTTAACATCTTTGCCTTAAATTGTTGAATAAAAGGATAATATTATACGATTACTTTATAATGTGATAAGAACAATTTTTATTCATTTTTGAGATCCAAAACGTAAATATTACATAGCATAATTAAGAAGAGATGAAAAATAAGTATTGTTGATAAATATCGTTAAAAAGGAATAAATGGATAATTTATAGGCATATACCGTAATAATCTTTATTAAATCAATGCAAATGACAATTAAAAGTATCCGGATATTGTTTGTTTATTAACAATCATATCATTAAATTTTTCAATTTGATGATAATGCACGAAACGTTACGACAAAAATAATCTTTTTATGATTTATAATAGCTACGTAAAAGTTACAATTAAAAAACAATGGTTGCATTGGAAAGAAGAATGCCATTTAAAAAAGTTAAGAGAAGTTTCTTTATTATGGTTTTATTTTCATTTCTGATTTATTTTAATAAACTTTTGCGGAAATAATCTTTCCCATTTTGTTTTAAACAAAACATTGGTAAGGTAGTACTTTATAATTTATATTAATTCTATACTGGATCTTTCTCTAAAATCGATGAGCTTTCTAAATTTATATATTCAAATAAATATAATTTTTATTAAAATATAAAAATAATTTTATTTAAAAATTAAAAAGAAAAATGTGAGTTGAAAATCAAATGAAAATTCTTTCAAATGACAAAATAAATGGGGAAAGAAACTGTTGCATATAAGTGCTTAAATGTAGTGCCAGCAAAATTATCTTTATTTATAATATTATCTTTATTTAGAATATTTTAAAAATTGTTATACTTTTGTTTTTTAATTGTTTTCAACAAAGTTTGTTACATTTATATTGATTGAAAGTAATTAAATATGATACAGAATTAATAAAATACAATAATATCTTATAGATAATATCTTTCTGTCTTAAATGTTTCTAAAAAAATTCCAATAGATTATTTTCCATTTCAAGTTTTTTTACTGAACGGAAATGGAAAGTTTTATTCTTAGTAATAAGCAAATAATAAATAAACATAGTTATTCAGCTTAATTTCGTAATATTAATTTAGCTCTTAAACTATTTTAAAATTCCTAATGACTCTTATAATTAAAGCTAGTAAAGTTTTCCTAATAATCTGTAAAAATTGTAAGCTGAACTTTTAAACAAGTTATTAGTAAAAATTTGTAATTGTACAAAACAGATCTTAATAATATTTTTAAAAAAAATTAGGTTTCCTTGAATTATTGATAAATAAAATTACTACTGTATATTTGTGCGCTTAATATAAATTTCATAAAAAGTATTAAATTTCGAACATTTACTTGTGGTTAATTTATAAATGGTTAAAATTAGAATAATTACATTATCTTTTTAGTTTTACTTCGTATTATTGCATATTTGTTTAGTATAGCTGTTGCCTCACGGAAATCCGATATTTGGTCAATTTCCTTGTAACCATTTAGATTGATTTTAAATTTCAAACTAATACACTTAGAAATATTCCATTTCGTCTGTTAAACCGTTTAATGTAACACCATTTCATTTTATGGTTATTTTTCCCAATCTTGCAATTTACCTGACTTTTCTCTGTTTTGCGATATAACTAACTTATTATTTGAATTAACACGAGAGTCATTAACATAAAATTCATTACTTCTTAATTTTCTAACTCAATCCAGTAAATCCTATTTTGAAAGTATATATTCATTTGAAAATAATGACAGTTATTTCAAATTCAATCATATCTACTGCTTATGAAATCTACATTTCGTTACACAAAACTGCCATGCTGCCAGTTATAAATTTTTTTGTCGTCTAAAGTTACTTTATGCATTTAATAAAAAGAAAATTAATTTAAACATAAAATAGTTTTTCCGAAATTCATTAAAATTTGTTTACCTGTTAATGACATGGAGAGGAAAATGAAAGAAATAATGTAACAAATAATAGGTGATAAGTCACTGGGAATGTAGCTGAAACCCAAGAAAAGGGCATGCATTATAAATCCTAAGAGAGAAATAAAAGATAAAAAATGATGAAAATGCAAAGTAAAATTAAAAAAAAAACAATTATATTCAGGTTTACATTAAGATTAGTTTGCATCTATACAATAAGATAAGTTTAAACTGTATTTACCATTACAGAATGTGGTAAACACTTCCCCACTGACGATTGACCAATTTATCATCCAAAAAACTACAAATTTTAAATCTATTCTTTTCTGTATTTTTAAGCATTTAAAAACATTTTTAAGTCATAAGAAAAAACTTGGACCTATATTCGCTCTCAATGTTTAAAATGTCCACTTTTACCATAAAGGTAAAACTTCATCTGTTTTTAGCAGATTTGTTTTGAAACGAGTTTCACGACGCTCAGAATTTTTTTTTATCCATTTAGTTTAGCAATAATGGCAATTTTCCTATATTCAATAGCTCCGTGGGCTATTTGTACTTAAGTTATTCAGTAAAAATTTCAATAGTAAAAAGTCCAATTTCTTGCAATCAATTGCTAACCATTAAAAGAAAAAAAAAATTTGAAGAATGTTTATGGTTTTAATTATTGTGGTACATTACAGTGTATTGTTGAATTGAGAATCTTGTAAACTATACTTATTTACAAGATTGAGACATCATCTTGTAGACAATGATGATTAGAACATTGATTCGTTTAATTAAGTTTTTTACATGCAGTTGCATCAGCAGTTGGCTTGAAAAGTAAAAGCTCAAACACTAAGAAGAATCTATAGAAAAATCAGTAGGTCAAATATCTCTTGTTCGTGATTGGGTACAAAGGAACCAAAAGATGCCTTCAAAATAATCCCTTTTTCCTTCAAGAAAAAAATAGATATTTTTATAAATTATATTTAATAGGAGTTAAAAACTTTTCGTATGCACTATTAAAAGTGCGCTTAATAGCTTAAAAATAATTCTTTTCAAATTTGTTATTTTCGGTTTTCGCTTCGTATAACTTTACGAACCATCACGAATTCTTTACATTGAAGCATTTTTCAAGGGTGCTCTATGTTTTATTACCGTCATTAAACAGCCGACCTAAGTTTTTTGGTTTAAATGTTCAACTCCCTAGCCTTGTAATTTTGAACCAATCCAGAAGAAAAGGAAATTCCAGGATCAGTAACCCCAGAGGTAAGATTTGTTATGGTACATCGGAGGACTTTACGACTCGACAGATTTAACATGCATCAGTCACCAGCTACTACACGGGGAGTCTTCAGCCGGCGGGGATCGAACCCACGATCTCTTGGACTTGGGCCCAGTGCCCTACCAACCAGGTTATCCCGGCTCTTCAAGGGTGCTATAAGTCAAAACTGATCGAAAACACTGAACTCAGTGTAAATGATGATAGGATCCTATTTAATAAGTTTTTTTTTCATTCTTTACGAAAATATTCAATTTTTTTAGGGTCTAAAAAACAGGTTAAAAATATTAAACTATCGGTATATCGGCCAGCTGCTTTTTTTAGGAGCCATGTGAGAATTTTCGACTTCTTATTTGATGCATTTCATTCAGTTGCATTTTCTGACGCTCTGCCTACTGAGTGAGTGATTTAAAATCCGAAATATTGAAGGATACTGTTCCTAAATTTTAAAATGTCCTCTATAATAGACGAGAAGACCGAAGATGAAGTTGATTCTAATAAGCTATCAAAAGCTAAGAGCTTAATAAATAAAAGGAAAAAAAATGGTATTTTTGTCCGGTTTCTCTATATCTACTCGAATATGACGTTAAGCGATTCCATTGTCTTCCTAAAACCTACTTTTAAGTACTAAACTTGTAACAGGCCCGGTCGAGGTTTTCTAATCCAGCGGCGTTTAACGACCCACTCCCCAGTTTAGCGATTTCTTAAATAAAACAAACTTAAAAAAATCTTGATTCTCGACATTGAGTCAGTTCAAGTAATTAATTTTTGAGCTGTGATGGCTCAAGGGATAGAGCGTTCGCCTTCCAATGCGGCGAACTGGGTTTGAATCCCAGTCGATGCGAATTCCTCACCTGGCTTGCACCGACCACAGTGCTGAGTGAAATATCCTCAGTGGTAGACGGATCATGGGTTAGAGTCCCCTTGCCTACAGGTTTACCGTGGGAGGTTCTCGTGATCTTCCTCTCCATGCAACGCAAATCCATCAAAATTCATGTAAGCTCCATCAAAAAGTGCTTCACGAAGGCAAATTTCTCCCAATACTCGATCCAGGAGTTCCCTTGTCTTCTGGATTGCGTTCAAAATTGCAAGGCTACGGAGTTGAACATTAGTAGTCATAAACCCATGAAATTGTGTCGGCTGTTCAACGGCGGTTATAAAATAAAATATAAAAAACTAATAAATTTTAAAGGGAATAAAAGCTTGTATTATGATTGGTACCAACTACAGCCAAGATTAAAACCTTCAAAAGAGAGAACGAGACGTTAAATGCCGTTGGATTGTAAATTAGCAACCCTATCTAAGCTCGTTTTTCTGCTAAAATCGAATTGTTTATAAAACAGGAAATTCCATAACAATAAACTTGAACATTGTAATGCAACTTAAAATTTCTTTATCGATTATATAGCATGAAACAATTTGCTCTGCGATTTGTCTTGAAGAGCTTAAATTTTTTATTTAAAATAATAATTAATAAAGAAAAGTGGTTTAATTAGAGTACTACTTACCACCGGTGCAAAAAAACTTCCTCATTGTTAATCTTTGAAAAATCTCTCTGTTTATCAGATAATCAACTAAAAATCCACTTGCAGGTACTAGCAGTACGAAGTTAAAAGTCAACACCCAATGAGAAAAGGATGGCTATAATAAATTGCTTCTGTGAATAATAATTGCAAAATGTTTATGTTCCTAATGGTTTATTTATTTTTTAAAGGTAATGTGGGAAGAAATAGGAAATATTAACGCAACTTATATATATCAAGGGGCAAAAATGTAATATTTTTGCATTCTATAGGGGAAATTCAATTTATTGGATTCTTTTATATTTTATGAAATGTGATGTTTATATTCTGTAAAAAAAGTTGGAAATTTGCTGCTTAAGGGGAAAATATGGACAGTGCAAAAACGCTGTTCTTCATTTTCATATGCACGGCAGCATTTAAATACATGACAACATTTCATAGCATAACAACATTCTCAATTGTTAAAAACACGCAAAAAAGCAAAGTCTTATTGGTGGAAAAGACTTTTTAATCCTATAATCGTAGTTTTAAAAACAGGAGATATGTCATAATTGAATGTATTCGTTGCATGTTTTAATTTGGGAGATTTTTTAAAATTTAGAAAATATGATTTTGGAATTTAAAGAACATTTTTCTTCTCTAAAAAATAATTTCCATTGTAAATAAAAATCTACAGTTTAAAATTTCAATAATAATAATGATAAGCGCAACATAACAACATGAAGAAAGCAAAAGCTTTTGAAATGAAGTTTATGATGAATAAAATATATGGCCCATATTGAAAGTAAATAAAAACTCGGTAATTTTCATACGGTAATTTTATCATAATTTGAAAATTTTAATAAAATTATTTGGAAAGTTTATTATTTTATCATATTATAATTTTGATCATGGCATAATATCCATTTATTCGGTTAAATTTACTTTTCAGTTTTGTAATTTTTATTAAATGTCTGGTACGAGGGTTGCTATTTATATTTCTGGCCTAATAATGAAAAAACAAATATGTAGGATAGAAATTCGTTTTATTGTTTTTCAAAATATTCTCCATGATGATCAATACACTTTTGCATGCTTTTAAGCCAATTTTCAAAGCACTTTTTTCAGTCCGATTGAGGTAACTCCAAAACATGCGTTTTGAATGCATCAACCGCTTCTTCGGGGGTCGAAAATCGTTGTCCACGTAATTTATTTTTGATGTGTGGGAATAAGAAGAAGTCATTGGGTGCCAAATCAGGGCTGTACGGCGGATGACCCATCAGTTCGATCTTTCGCTCCGTCAGAAATGCCTTTGTTTGAGTCGATGTGTGAGAGCTCGCATTGTCATGATGAAGAATGATTCGCCTGTTCTTCTGCTTTTTTCGAATTTCTCCGATGACTTCTGGCAAACAAATGGTCGTGTACCATTCAGAATTGACCGTCCTGCGTTGCTCTAACGCCACTGTTGCCACATGACCGTTAATGCCGAAGAAACAGGCAATCATTTGTTTCGATGTGCTTCTTCCTCGAACAACTTTTGTTGGTTTTGCCTCGTCTTGGAAGACCCATACAGTTGATTGCTGTTTTGTTTCCGGCTCATATGCATAGATCCATGATTCGTCACCTGTGTAGATGTTATACACAGCCTTTGATGTACCTTGAACGTATTTTTCCAACATTTCCTTGCACCAATCGACACGAGCCTTTTTTTGAGCGTTTGTCAAATTATGCGGGATCCAACGCGAACAAATTTTTTTTTTTACGCTCAAATGTTCATGCATTATTTTATTCATGCTAGTCATACTAATGTCCAAAGACGCCTCTATCTCACGTTATGTCACATGACGATCTTGCTTTATCAGTTCATGCACAGCATCGATCTTTTCTGGCACAACAACGGATTTTGGACGACCTGCACGGGATTCGTCCTGGATCTAACACCGACCACGATTAAATTCGTTATACCAATTTTTTACAGTGCTGTAGGATGTCGCTTTATCGCTGAATAAAGAATTAAGTTCATCGAAGCACTCTTGTCTTGACAATCCACGTCGAAAGTTATGAAAAATAATGGCACGAAAATGTTCACGATTCAATTCCACTTTTTGAAAGAGAAGAACTTTTCAATTTACTGTCAACAACACAAATGAAGCTATAATGGTAAATCGTCTGCTGAATTTATGTTTAAAAATATCAAACTTTCGATTAAAATCGTCTGCGGTCACCTAGCACCACTTACTGTTGCCAAGACCAGAAATATAAATAGCAACCCTCGTAATAAGAACTATCATTTTCAAAACCGAAATCTCCGATCAACCATTACCATGTGTGTGAAAAAAATTACCAAATGAATGTTTTAAGTATCTTATATTTTGGTTTTATTAATCCGAACTTTTTTGTTATTATAAATGTCATTACCATACAGTATGGTGATTTTACCAGAATTTGTTTTCTCCTCCGTGTGGGTTGTAAAACGTACTGAAACTTAATAAAATAAGAATGTTGTTATTTATTTTCGACAACTTGTCTTGTCTTTCGAAGATTATGGTATTATAAAATAGAATACATCCAAAAGTAGACAGAAATTAGAATCTTATCAATTGAAATTCCCTCTTAAAGTTTTCCGTGAAGTGTTAATGCCAGTTACTTTAATTCAAAAGGACTGCTTTAGCATACTTGTTCATTAATTGAGCATTTTAAACATAAATTCAACCTCAGAATTTTGTTTAAAATTGCGAGGTTATGGTGTTATGGTTAGGCACTGAAAATCGTTAGGAATCAATTATAGTTACAAAGTTAACTTAATATTAAAAGAAGAGAATTTAGTAAAAAAAAAACTAAAAGGCTAGGGTAATGGAATTTAAAACATTTAAGTTCAAATAAAACTACAAAGTGATGATACTGAATAAAAAGAATTAGAATTCATTTGAAAACTACGAAGTTATAATAATGAACAAAAAACAAATAACTTTAGTGATAGATTTAAAAATGGCTTACATCATAGTCCTTGTTTATCAGTTGCACATTTATCAATATGCCTGTAAACATCATGACCTTCTTTAAAAATGATACAGTGAAAAATACGAGACAAAGAGAGATTACAGGCATGGATAGAAATATAGATTTCCAAGGAATCGATTTCAACTGAAAATAGAAAAAACATATAAATCAATGCAAAATAAACTAAAATAATTTTTAAAATTAACAATACCGCAAAATTTGATACGATGTATTGTACTTCGATAGAATAGGAACTGAATTTTAATATTATAGCTTTAGAGCTCATAAGTTGATTCGAAAAATTCACAAAAAAATTTCCTTAATTATGTTTGGAAAAAGATTTCAAAAAGTTGTTGCTTAAATGGAAACAAAAGAATTTTAAAGATAAAACAAAAATGAACTTCCAAAACATAAACTTTCTTAAACTTTATATGCATTGCACATTTTACATGCTTCAATTTTTATTTCTTTTGAGCTTTTAAATACAATACTTCATACAAACTTTTCGATATAAAAATATTGAATAACATGTGAAGTACATTAATCCTAATGGGAATTAGGTGTACTATGTCCTACATATAGACAAAGCAAAACAACAAAAATAAGGAGTCAAGGCACAAAAATGGATATTAGGGCTTTATAAACAAGAAATTTCCTCAAAGTCGAAACATAAAATGACAGATGTAAAGTAACGAGACTAACATTTTCAAATAAGAAAAAAAGTTGTTCAACGAATAGGGAAAGAGGAATAAGCTTGAACAAGATATCAAAGGAAGAGAGGTAAGAAATGGGTGTGAAGGAGTGGGGTGTAATTCCCAGGGTTCAAGATGCAGAAATTAAATCAGAACAGATTTCCTAGCGTCAGGGAAAAATGGGATTCTAGAATCTAATTATTATCTAAATTATTAGAATTTTTGAAATGTGGAATGATTTCCAGAAGTCAAGGTTGGTAGATGAAGGACTGTGTGGAATGATTTTAGCAGAAGAAAACTCAAATCTAAGATAAGAATTCCAACTATGTTGGGTGATAGAAGATCGTGTACATGTTTGTGTTGTTCATGTTCGTTAAGTCGAAGCTTAAGTCTACATATCGTTTGCCCAAGATACGCAAGAGTAAACAGACAAGAAATTTGATTAATTCCACAGCTATTAATAGCTGTAGCATGCATTAAATGTTCGTAATCTATTCTCTCTAATTCGAGCTTTAAAAAATTGATTGCTTTTTTCTTGTAATCAGTAAATCAGTCACCAAATTGCTATGCTTTTGAACGAACTTTACTTCAAAACTTTAAAGCCGATTTAACGGTTTAATTGTGATTTGAAAGTGAAAGAATTGAAATTTTTGAGAAAGAATCTTTGTGTAAGGATATAGAATGTGCCATTTAAGAGAATTGATACTTGACGGGCTTGGCTTACTCGAAATAGTATGTATAGAACAGTTGCTATCGTAAACAAATGCCACGTTTTAATAACAAATGAGGAGGGAGATATCCCATTAAGTTAACGCTTCCTTACATGCTGAAATACTTACATTTATTTTTTCCTTCATATCTGGAGTAATATTTTCTTCCAGATAACACTGTTCCTCTATGGTGATTAGCGGATCACTTGTAGGAGACTCGTAAATCAAGGTATTCCAAAGAAAACACCACAACACTCCAGCCATTCCTGTTTAAAAGGTATGGAGATACATTTTCTGACAATCTTTTTTATTTAATACTTTATAATATCATTGATTACAAAAACAAAATATTTTATATAATTAGAATTTCTTAAATAATTAATTACGCATTTTTAAATTTTTAAAAATTTGAAATAAAGCATATAAAAAATGGGATGACGACATAATAATCCCTAATAATTGTGTTTGGAAATATTCTGGATTGACAATATCAAATATGACAATCCACAGATGTTAATCGGCAAATCATGGTATTGGGGATTATTTTTTATTTTCATCTAGTAGTAAGCACGATGCTTGTTGCTAGATGGCGGAGTAGTCGATAGTAACGTCAGGATTTCTGGTAGCGCGTAATTGGATACCTGCAAGTGACGTCATCTTAGGTAAATCATGACATTCGTCGATTCAGAAGCCAATCAGGTTCAACACACGCGCATGACGTTGATGACAGGTATCTAATCAAATATGATACAAATCTCATGGCTCAGCAAGATCATTTTACTTTTTCTCGAGTTGCAAGTGCCCAATTGGGTTTTTATTTAAAGTTAGGCAACTCATTGACAGTTTATTTTATGTAACATTCGGTGGCATCGATATTATGCAAATCATTATGCGAGTGCAAATACTTCAGTTATTCATTATTTATTGTTACTTGCTATGCGTTATCTACCGTTAATGAGCATTATATTATTCACAGCAATGTTTGATGCAATGACGTTTATTATTTGATACATATTATTAGTCAATTTAATGTTTTGCGTAGATCAGCATGAGTGCACGTCCAATTTCGTTTATTGCCTATGAACCATCTAATCGTTAATAAAAGAATGTGCAAATTCTTCTCAATAATAAAATTCGTTTATCTAAAGATATTTTCATGCAAAAAAATAAATTTTAGTAAATATTTATTATTTGTTTACAGTTTACTTAATAGTAGTCGAAAAAATTTTGAATTGTAAGGTATACAGTATTTCACATCATTTTAAATTATCTAATTTTACATGGCAAGGAACAAAATTTGGGTGAAATCGGTTGTTGAATAGTTGAGTACTGAGAAAGTGTTGAATACCTGTGTTGCTAATTGTTGATAAGTGTTGAATTAAGTGTTGAACCTGAGAAATCGAATTTTTAATACATGACTTTTTTGACATTGATGAATCCAAATTAAATTTGGACACTCAAGACCATCATGTATGAGTGGAGGCCTCGTGATGAACGCTTCAATTTTTCCTACGCTGTACAGCAGCACACAGCTACAGCTGGTGTGATGGTATGGGGTGCTGCAACATTCGGCCCACGATCACTCCTAATATAGATATATGAAGCCATAACAGTCCAGCGGTAACGTTCGTGACATTCTTCAGTAACATGTACTTCAACTCTTGGCAGGACTTCCAGGAGCCAATTTACAACAAGATAATGCTCGGCAACACACAGCAAGGATGTTATAGGAATACCTCTGACACATTCCGACTTTTCCCTAGCCTGCTTGATCTCCAGATTTGTCATCGAACAAGCATATCTGGGACTACATGGCAAGCTAAGTTGGACAACCTCCGAGTTTAGATGATTTAATGGCGTTTTTACAGCAACTGTGAATCGAGATGCTATAGAACATCATAAGACACTTGAATGCCTCAATGCTTGACCGTATCCATCCTGCATTCGTTGTAGAGGTGGCCCCAGAGGGCAAAACATCCATAAATGATCATTCTATTTAAATTTTTTAATCACTTAGATCAACGATGTACTTACGTATGAAAAATTTCGCTTTAATCTAACAACTCTTTCTACGTATGCTAATTTTTAAGGCAAAAAACTTTGTTTTATATAATGATTTTTTTTTCTCGACGGTGCTTCGTGTTCTCAACGGTAGGGGACGGTAGAAATGATATTTGTAGAGGTTGTTTCATTTTTCGGTTTGGTATAATCTAGTATCGATTTCTATTTTTCAAGACTCACCATCTTTCAACTTACTTTTTAATGTAGCTATTTGTTTTTGATGACTAAAAATACGTTAGAATGTGGTGACAGTTGTTCTGTTTTCGGATGCACTGTACGTTGAAGCACTTATTTGCTATCTGAAATTAATATGTTTAAATTTCCTGAATACCCATCACGCTGAATTCAATAGAGTAATTGTTAAAAGGTGAAAGAGTAGAAAGAAAAAAGAAATAGTCATGTTCTGCTATGATGTCAGAGGAAGGCAGCAAGACTTCCTGCATGTTTTAAGGACAGCTAGTCAATAAAACATTAGAAATTTGTGATTGCTTATTTCCATTTTCTGCCTGCCAATGAAAATAGCACCATTTCTTAATTTTTTATATATATTAATTTCGATTTAAAGTTTAAGCTATTGTTTTGGAGTATTTATTATAAAATTAATGCAAAATTGAATAAGAAAGGATTATTATCTTGTTTTGACAATAGGAATTACTTACCTGCAAAGTAATATATCGAAAAAGGCCCAACTGCTTCTGCAAGAAACATGCTGAGAGAAAATGTTACATATACGTTGATTATTTGACCTAGAAAACAAAATATTAAAAATGTAGAGCTCAATTTATGACACAGAACTGAAAAAAATATTCTCGTTAAACTAAATAGGACACTTTTCTTAAATAATAAACTGTTTTTAATGGATTTTTTAGAATTTAAAATACGATAAAAATACAGTAGCATACGGATTTCTCTTAAATTCTATCTAGTGTTTGAAGCGCTCAATTATGTTCTACGGTTCGTACGTGTAGTTAGTGCAGTTCTAAAAATACATGTCGAGTAGTCTTCTTACACGTTAGAGCATTTTTAAAAGTAATATTTCAAAAATTATTGCATTTCTGAAGCGTAATTTTGCTTTTGTTGACGATACAATACTTCTGAGTGGTTTCTGAAGCATTTCGTGAAAATTTCAGAAATATTTAAAACATATCAGAAACGTTTTAATAGCGATTTTAAGAAAAAGTGTATTTCTTTATTTTTTCTTAAATAAAAAACTTCGAGAAAGTTTTTAAGAGTTTGTGTATCTAACTATTATATCATTCAATACTCTTCTGAATTGTTTAAACGTTTTGTGCTGTAAATTTATTTTTAAATAATTTATTTAAAAATCAATTTGTTTTGTGCTGTAAATTAATTTTTAAATAATTAATTTAAAAATTAATTTGTTTTGTGGTGTAAATTAATTTTTAAATACTATATTTAAAAATTAATTTGTTTCGTGCTGTAAATTAATTAAAAAAATTAAATTAATTTTCAAAACTGTTTCGAGCAAACAGTTTAAAAAAATTAATTGCATTCGTTGATGAGTTATGAGTTGGATTAGATTTATGAAATAAAAACACGCATTATCTCGTACTTTCTATAGGCCAGTACTTAAAACTAATTAAAATATGCATTCGCAATCAACATGAAGCAGAACAGAAAGGTGAATGAATTTTTTTTCTGAGCTTTTGTAATAAAACAGATATTTCTGCGATTTATGGTGCAAAAACAGTGACGTAAAACGACAACATTTGGTCCTTTTTTGAAAACTGAAGTATTACTTTACCACTAAAAGCAAGTACAAGTAGACTCGTCCTTTCTCTAGCTGGACCCCATTCCTTCCAAATGCTGACACACGCGCATGCAAGAGGACCCTGTAAAAAACAGTTGTAAAAATTTTTCCAGAATAAAATATAAATAAATAACAACGCATCATCAAAATATAAATATTGAAAAATTTCCAGTGCACTTTTCAAATGAATTCTCATTTCAATGAAAGTTAGACTAAAAAAAAAATAACAATTTGCACTGTCTCATAATGCCATCATTTGCAAAGGAGAGTTCGTTATTTAAATATTTTATGTGACACTAAATCATTTATCATCATTCAAAAAGTAAAGGAGAAGGATAAAATCAATTGAACCTCTTTCAACTTTTTACGCACATCAAATAATTTTAACAATTTAGAGTGCCTTTAAATTGGCCAGTGTCTCATGTTTTGCTCTGTTGAAAGAAACACTATGTATATTTCTTTAACATATCCATTAGCATGTTAAAGAGCAGTCTAAGCTGGCGTCACTTTGTTTATCTTCCTACTGAAAATTTATGAATAATCAATCAGTGATTAGTAAATTATAATAAGTTTCATCCCGAAATAAAATAATATAAACAACTGGTTGTCCTTATCTTCCAGAATATTACGGCATTTGATTGAAGTATAACAGTCAAGTGATATAGTTCAGTTTCTAGGAAATTTTCAAACAAATCTTTTAACATATAATAGAATGTTTCAGATCATCACGTGATTGTGGTATAGCAACGCCGAAAAATTTACCTAGCAACTCTAAAATCAGAAAAACATAAAGTGAATTGTCTACAGCCTGTTAAAGTCATTTGTTCTACAGCAGTTGCAGTTAAAAAGAATAACGTCAATAAGAAATATAAGTAACTGATCATGACGTCACTATGATAAATTTAATACTACTGCAAAAGCATGGTTTTTATTTTATTTAAAATATTTGAAAAAGCGATTGCAAAATCATAAGGATACTTACTGCAATCATGCCTTGAGTGAAAAGGAAGAAATATGTTCCTACTGCTGGTCCATGTATAATAAAAGGCGTGAGCATGTGAAGCAAAGATGCTAGTAAAACAGATAGTAGCATGATCCTAAAAATTAGCTTTTTTTAGTTAAAAGACAAAACTCAATATCGGAAAAGTATTCGCTACTAATGAACTTGATATAAATCTGACATTATCCCTAAATTTTTTGAGTCACAGGAAAATTTTGAATTAAGATTTTAGAGTAAGGCAATATTTAATGCAATCGTAGATGGTACATTAAAGAAAAAGATGTATTACAGATCTATAGTTCAAAGACTATAGGTTTCTAAAAACTGGTGGACGTTTAGCAGCAAATAGTTTTACAGTAGCGTTCGATTTAGATCTATTTACGAATCTTAACTATTCTTTTTGTTGATTCTAATGGCACTTCGACAAGCAGAGCTAGCCAGCAATTAGAGGTTAGCGAATAAAGTCAGGAGGGTGTGCCTTTTGTTTGATAAGAGAGCACTGCAAAGGGGAATGTACAGAGCGCAAAAATACAGATCACTTGAATAACTTTTGATGTATTGTACTGCTCTTCACGTTCTAGGGCTCAAACTTAATGGTTCGAGAGAGTGATTTAAAATATTATGATTAATAAGTGCAGACGATATTTTAAGTTATGAAATAAAAAACAAAAGTGCACTTTTTTTTTAATAAACATATCTTTTTTTCCGACCGATTTGGATTTTTGGCTCCCAAAATATAGGGGAAATATGGTCCCAATAGTTTGAACAGGAGAACTCTCCAAAATTTGGATCCTTTTATGCGTTTTTTCAAACAGAATTCGTTTCTCCAAACATAATAATAAAGTTTTGAAAGAAAGATTTTGCATAATTCTAAAGAATGTAATTTTACATAGCAAAATACAAAATTTAAGCGAAATTAAACGAATAGTTCCTGAGATATCGAATTTTAAATTTTTACTTCTTCAAAATTCCATTTCTCAGAAACGTTTCAACCGATTTTGCACAAATTTTGCATTTAGCCATGTAAAAATATATTATTTAATATGATGGAAAGCCGACCAGGTGACCGAGTGGTCAGCGTGCCTGACTGCGGAGCCGATGGTTGCGGGTTCGAATCCCGCTCAGGGCATGGATGTTTCTTTCTCTCTCTCAGTGTTCTATGTCCCTTCTTCCGTGTGACTATGTGAATGTAACCCACCCTATAAACGGGTTTGTGGTTGTATGACGTGGGCGACGCTACTCCACCGCCGTGGCTTAGCCATAGGTGCTCACTGGGTTGCGATAAGAGAGCAGCAATTCTGGCATTTCTGAGGTCAATGGGAAATAGACCCAAGTGCCCGCCGTTAACCCCAAAAAAATATATTATGGAAAGTTTTTTTATACCTTATAAAAAATAGCACCGGTCATGAAATGGTAAATTATCAATCAGGAAACAATATGATGTAAAAATGTATCTGAAAAACGTGTAGCTTTTCACTATGTAACTCCAAGTTCTTGAGTTGTAGAAAATTAAAAGATAAGCAAATTTATAATGTTTACTGGAAAAAAATGATCGATGAGATAAATTACTTGTGGGGTGAAAAGCAAATAGTGATAAGAGCTGCTGGAAGCTGTATTACAGCTCCTCCCCAATAGTTCAAATCGAGGTGTGTTTCTAGGTCCTCCACTGTCCAGTTTTCACTCTTTGGAAAGTCCCTCTATTCAAATAAAAAAAATATTTATAATAAAATTTATAATATAATAAATAAAATATATTTAGTACTTACGTAAGTACTAAAACTAGTAGTCCCGCAGTGGACTGATCGTTAAGACACGGTTCCCAGCAGATCACCGAAGTCAAGCATCACTGACTACGGTCAGTGTGCGGGTGGGTGACCACTTGGATCAGTCTGCGTAGGGACCGAGGGTGTGCGGTATTGGTCCTCGTTAAACTGTGCTACCGTAAAGTGCTCAACTTCGCGCGCAGGTCGTCGGGCTACCGAAGCGGGGGTGCCATCCCTTCCGCAGAGGATCAAAATTGTGATGGCATGTCTTCGGATCATCCTCCGGGATGTTTCCCAGACCGTCGCCAATAGCCCATTGTGTAGCTCTAGTGCGACGTAAAGTAACAACAACAACAACAACTAAAACTAGTACTTTCATGAAACAACAAAAGTATTTTTTATTCATTGAAGCATAATTTTATTAAGTCGACTTAGGAGCCTGGGAAATAAATAATGTAATTTTTTGTTACAATTTAAACACTTCTCATTTGCAGAAAAAGGTATTAAATTATTTTTTTTCAGGTGAAAAAGTAATCATACCCTTGATTAACGAATGTACGAAACAAATTTAAAGAAGTTATTTTTAAAAAAAATTATGAAATTTTTAAGAAATTAATTTTTTATACTTTTATTTGAAATCTGGTTAAGAATATGAAATACAATTTGATTAATAAATATAAAATTTTGCGCCGGCCAGGCGGCCGAGCGGTTAGCGCGCCTGACTGCGAAGCCATAGGCTGCGGGTTCGAATCCCGCTCTGGGCATGGATGTTTCACTCTCTCTTTGTGCTGTCTTCTGTTGTGTGTATGATGTGTGAATGTGGCCCACCCTATAAACGGGTTTGTGGCAGTGTGGAGTGGGCAATGTTGCTCACCTCCGTGACTTTGGTTCACAGGTGCCCACTGGGTAACGCGAAATGAGCAACAATTCTGGCATAGTGCACTATAGGCAAAGATTCAAATTCAGTGCCTGCCATTGGAAAAAAAAATATACATAATTTTTCAAAAATTTTTTTAATATACTGTAATCTGTTTTAGAAAAATTAAGTTTTCTCTAAAAAGAAATCTACTAAAATTTTTTGCTAAAATTGTGCTAAAATGAAGCAACAAAATAATATATTTGCCACATACGGCATGTTATTTTTATTAAATACTAAGGGGCTAGGCCTCCTGTTCGTTGCCGCACACCAACACTGATGATTCTTTTGCAATAATTGTTTCTTAGAAGAAAATAGTTTTTTTCGGCGAAAGCCGAAATTATTCGCTTAAAATATATGCACTATAAGAAATTTTCTTTGTTTATGCTTGTGTTCTCGCTTCCCACGTCCAATAATTAGTTCTTTAAATTAAAATGTTTATTTTGAGTCCAGTTTAATTGGTAAAACTGATGAAAGATATCGTATGATTACATTTTCCTTGTGATCTGTGGTGGTATCAGCGGTAAACTAGGTACAAGTACCAATATCTCTGCAGTGGAATGAGCGAACTACTAGGTTAAAGTACCATAGTTCCTCTGTACCTGTCAAACTTGTAAGTTACCAAACCTGAAGTGTAAACCTGAAACAAACTTAACTGAATTCAAATAAATATGTATATAAACTTTTGCAATATGCATACTTGTTCTTTCGCTGAAGCAGAGCGGTATAGTCCGCCAAGCGCTGCGCGAAGGATTCGATTCCCGTTGTTACTCTGAATGTATCTTCGTGTTGTCCTTCCCCGTATTGTGCTATTTGTCCTTCTATTTGACAAATGTTTATAAGCCTTAATTGAGCTTACAAGTCTTCAATTACATGTTAAACCAACGTAAGTATGTTCTTCCGCTTTTCACATTTTTATCTTTCTTTATGTTCGACGGCTGAGATCCTGCATAATGTTAGCTACGACCATGTTTAAATTTTTATTAAAGTTAAGTTTAAATTTGGCACTTCTCCGTTACGATTGATACATTTCGAACGCTGATAAAATACACGCAATTTATTTCGCAAAAATTTTATTAAGATCTATAAGTGAACATATATAATTTTGTTTAGAAGTCCTTTTAAGTAACATTTAAGGTTGTAGTTGTTGTAGTTCATTTACGTCGCTCTAGAGCTGCACAATGGGCTATTGGCGACGGTCTGGGAAACATCCCTGAGGATGATCCGAAGACAAGCCATCACAATTTTGATCCTCTGCAGAGGGGAAAGCACCCCCGCTTCGGTAGCCCGACGACCTGCGCGCGAAGTCGAGCACTTTACGGTAGCACAGTTTAACGAGGACCCATACCGCACACCCTCGGTCCCTACGCAGACTGATCCAAGTGGTCACCCACCCGCTCACTGACCGCAGCCAGTGATGCTTGACTTCGGTGATCTGCAGGGAACCGTGTCTTAACGATTAGTCCACTGTGGGACAGTAACATTTAAAATTAAAGATGCATTTTCACATTAAATTTGGATAGTTTTCAATTATAATTTAACAATTAGTTCCCAAAATAGGCTGATATATTAAGTGCAATTTGTTTATACGTCACATTGCAGTATAACTGTTCTCAATAACTGTTTAACTGATTGCTTTCAAACTTGTTTCGTTTGGCATATTATGCAAGTGTTTTCATCAGGTAAAATCTATGTAAGAACCGATTACTTGTACAAATCAATCTAATAATAGAATCATGTAGGGTAAACCAACCAGTGAAGGAAATAGACCCAGTGTAGGAACATTTCATATATATTGATTAAAAATAGGATTTTGAAAGTTTTTCCTTAGATTGATTGGTAACAATAACTCACTGCCAAACAATAGGAAGTCATCTAACAATGTGTTGGATTACCTGGTCACATAAAGTTCTCTGGAAAATTTTTTGAATTTGTTATTATCTGTGCAACACCTTGTTTCTTTAATAAAATTATAAGGTGAGTGCTTGTATTTATCTGTTTAAAGTGGAATTAATTGTATGTAGTAGTTTTATTTTTCTCACTGTGAAAAAGAGAATTCAAAATATAGTTATTGAAGTTACGTTTTATTTATTTTAAGCATCATAAAATAAGCAAGTACTGAGATACAGGTTGTTTATTTACTGGATTACCAAACAATGAAAAACCAGTGAAGGAACAAGTGTTCCTTTACTGATTTTTTTTTCTAAGTTAATGAAAATTAAAGATAAACTTTAATTTTCTTGTACCTTTAGTGATGTTCCGCATCAAAAGTATGTTAAAAATACAAAAAACGACTTCTAACCAGTGAGGGAACAGGCATGTTCCTTTACTAGGCATAGATTTCCCAGTGAATGAACAGTATGTATTAATATGTTGATACTTTAATTTTCAATTCATGATTACAAAAAAAAGTTAACATTTTCCAAGTATTTGTATGTTATAATTTCAATAATAGGCTTGTTTTTAGATATTTGTATGGCATATAAATTCATAAAGAGCATTAAAAAATAACCAAAATTAAGTGTTCCTTTACCGTGTGTTCATTCACTGGTAAGAACTGTTCCTTCACTTGGTTTTCTTACTACTTGTTATTTGAACCTCCAAAATTTTAAAACAATATTATGTAAATTCTCTACAATTTTCTTATATAATTTGCAATTAGTAACAAATATGTTGACACTGTCATTTAACTAAAATTACGAATTTTGAAATTATTATGATTTCTTAAAAGGCAAGCGGAGCTTAAGTATTTTTTCACTAGTTAGTTTACCCTAATAAAAATGCATAAAAGAAATAATCGCATAATTATAGGACCACGTATTAAAATGCATGTAAGAATCAATTATTCAATAATGCATGCAAAAATCAATACCGTAATAATAGGTGTGGGGAAAGACTATTAGACAATGTCAACCTTCCTCTATCAAAAGGTACCCCAAGATTGAATCTAGTTAGCATGTCATGTATACCAGTGAATTGATGCTTAATAATCGTAGTGGTAGTTACGCCACAATACTCCCCTACCAGAGTTATATATGTGACGGAATTCGATGAACGGATACCACTAGTTGATTCATTGCTGTTTTGTGAGAAGACTGGAGAGCTGTATTAAGATCCCCGTACTTTTTCTCGGATCGTGAGAGCTGTAGTAAGTTCAGGGTCGTGGTCACTCCTGTGTTGACTTAAGAAGTCGAGTGAATACGTTGTATGTGATTGAGACTGAGTAGCAACAGAGCGAGGAAGTGGATAATGTCGCAGTCACAAGTCAACTGTTCAATGTGGACCATCCATCGAAGTGGGCGTTACTCTCAAGATAGGAGTGTTCATATAGAAGTGGGAGTTTCAGTCCAGGTAGGCATGTTCACGTCACGTCCGGAGATCACCAATGTGGGAGTGTATTTATCGACAATGTCAACCTTCATCTATGAAAAGGTACCCCAACATAGAATTGAGTTAACATCTCTTATATACTAGTGAATTGATGCTTAATAATCGTAGTGGTAGTTACGCCACATAGGATTATCCTATAGAAATGAATGTAAGAATCAATCCCGTGTTAATAAGATCAGGAAATAAAAATACATTGAGTTAGTTTCATAATTTATAATAATATATAGAATCTAAGCCTTAATCTTCTATTTAAAAATTCTTTCGTGTAATTTTACTGTATATTATTAAAAATAAAGCTGAAATACTTACCTTTCTCACTTCTTCTGCCGCCAATAATATATGCACAAACATTGTCCATAGATTCGTGACCATCCAACCCTTGATGAAAAATGCCAAGTAGCACATTATAGCAACATGATATCGACGTGGAATTTTCCACCATCTGCGTTGGCCTATTGTCATTGCGTTGAAGTCAGAAGCCATTTCTGAATTCCTATTTTGTCTTGTAATAGTATCTGAGCTTGATCTTTTCACACCGCTCATTTCTGAGAAAGTGTTTTAGTTATTCTGAAAAAAGGAATTACAATGAAATGTGAAAGGGTAATTATAAGATAATACCATAATTAATAATTACCATCTGTATTTAGTTGGACACTTTCAGGTATTCGTTTTTCAACAACTGACTCTTATATTACAATGAACTCAGATTTAAAAAGAAAAAATGTGATCAGAAAGCTATAAATTCGTTAATTACGTACGGGATTTCTTGGATTAGGTTGTTTTGTTTTATTGGTACAGCATACATTTGCAGACTTGTGTGCTCAATTGAGGCTTATGAACCTTTGTCAAGTTTTTTTTCTCCACTGCCCACCTGTGATAACATGCGTCAATTCAGGCATATACAGGGCTATTTTGTTAGCCTCTCTTTCAGAGGCACCATATTAGGTGGGCCAACGTCGCTCCCACAGTGAGGATAGATAGTACAGGGAAGGAAAGAACATCCATGCCCGGGATTCGAACTCAGAACCTTTCTGATGCAGCTCCCTGTCCCCTACACAGGCCGGTCGGCACCTTCGTCAAGTAGAAAAACAGATAGCACAACACAGAGAAGAACATCACGAAGGACATCCAGGGTTACGGCGGGATTCAAACCCACCACCTCCACGCTTAACAGAGCGTTTGGCGGGTGACACCGCGCGGCCAGGGAAGCCCCTTCTTGGATTAGAAAACAAACAGAAGCAAAGTTAATAACAGAATGGATTTCTCTGCGTGTAGCTTTGATGTATGGAAAAAAGTCCGAGAATCTTCTCATATCCTTGCTAATCTGTAAGAACTGATGCTGTATTTACTCAAGAAAAGGTGTTCTTTCCATTATTTATTTATTTTTTTCTTTTAAAGTAACAAATTCTAGCTTAGTGAGTCCCACAGTGGATTGCTTTTAAGACACTATTTCCAGTAGAAGTCAAGTATCACTGGCTGCGGTCAGTGAGCAAGTGGGTGACCACTTTGATCAGCCTGCACAGTATTAGTCCTCGTTAAATTGTTCTGACATAAATTGTCTCACAGAAAAGTATATCTAACATAAAGATACTCGGGCGATGAAAGCGGGGTAGCCATCCTCTCTACAGAAGATTAAAATTATGATGGCATGCGTCGGATTATCCTCAGGGATGTTTCCCAGACTGTCGTAGCTCATCGTGCAACTCTTGCGCGACGTAAATAGAGCATCACTACTACTACTTCGAGGTAGGTAGGTAAGTAGGTACTTTATTAGCGTCGCACTAGAACTGCACAATGCGCTATTGGCGACGGTCTGGGAAACATCCCTGATATTATCCGAAGCAATTTTGATCCTCTGCTGAGGGGATGGCTCCCCTGCTTTGGTAGCCCGACGATCTGCGAGTGAAGTCGACTACTTTACGGTAGAACAGTTTAACGAGGACCAATACCGCGCACCCTCGATCCCTATGCAAGCTGATTAAAGTGGTCACCCACCCACTTACTGACCGAAACTAGTGATGCTTGACTTCGGTGTTCTACTGCGAACCGTGTCGAAACGATCAGTCCACTGCAGAGCCGAAATGAATAAGAGATAAAATAAGTCAGAGAAGGACATTATACAAAGTTACATCCATTGTTGCGTGGAGTTAGCGGGTTCAAATGCATATTTATGATGTCTTTTATATCTTGAGTGCTATCTTCTTATTTGACAAGGGCTTATAAGCGATACTTAGTAATTAGCACACAGGCCTGCTTAGTCCCGCAGTGGACTGATCGTTAAGACACGGTTCCCAGCAGATCACCGAAGTCAAGCATCACTGGCTGCTGTCAGTGTGCGGGTGTTTGACCACTTGGATCAGTCTGAGTAGGGACCGAGGTCGTGCGGTATTGGTCCTCGTTAAAGTGTTCTACCGTAAAGTGCTCGACTTCACGTGCAGGTCATCGGGCTACCGAAACGGGGGTGTTATCCCCTCTGCAGAGGATCAAAATTGTGATGGCATATCTTCAGATCATCCTCAGGAATGTTTCCCAGACCGTCGCCAATACCCCATTATGCAGCTCTAGTGCGACATAAATGAACTACAACAACAGCAACAACAGGCCAGGCTTGCTTATGTAATAGGAACGATAAATTAAAAAAAATAGTTTTGGTTTTACTTTCAGTTCAAGCTTTTGTTAAGCTTAAGTTAAGATGAGTAAAATTTGAAGTTCGGCTTCGGTTTAAATTTACTGCTTAATGTTATAAGATATTATTTACCTGATATAAATTTTTGGAAAAAATTATGAGATTTTTTTGAATTTATATTTAGATATCAAGATATTCTATAATTAGTTTGGTAGTAGTTTATAATGTTGTGACGCTAAGAACCGAGGAATTCGGTTTGAGTTCTGAAGAGTTGTTACAACCAACCGACAACCTCATGAATAACAGAATGAATACTGCACAACGGGCTATTTTATTTTATGATCTGTCATTCAGCTGACCCAAATTTTTAGTTTACTGCTACTAATCTGCTACTCCGTAGTCTTGTAATTTTGAACCCAATCCACAAAACAAGGGAACTCCTCTGGACCGAGTATTGGGTGAAATTTGCCTTCGTGGAGGACTTTTTGATATAACTAACCAGCATTTGCGTTAAACGGAGAGGAAAACCGAGAGGAAAAGATGGAGAGTGGGTGATAATTTGGATCCTCTATTGTTAATTCCCCTTTCTGCATAATCAGCTATATCTTAAGAAGTTCTAAAGTTAATGAAAAAAAATTTTTACTCAATTTTAATATTCTTTTTTTTAATAATTCCATGCAAAACACAATTTTAACGCTACTTTATTATTTTATTTAAGGTTTGAAAAAACTTTCAATTATAAGATGCAGTTTCGTACTATGTAATTTTAAATGACAAAATACAAAATTTATGTGAAATCTGATGAATACTGCCTTGCAATTGAAAAATCAACGTAAGCGACAAAGAATTCAAAATTGATATCCTTATACATTTGACATCTTCGTATGGTAAGCAACACATTGTGCAAAAACTTCTTTTCAAAAATGGATTTTGCTTTTATCAATTTTATCAGTTTAGCGTTCATAACATTACAATTATTTTCCTTCGATTGCTAAATCCTCTTTTCTCGGAATCAATCTTGAGGCATTAACTTTTTTTTTTTTCTTTTTTGAATTGCACTGCAGAATCGGTAGCTATTAAAGACATCTTTTCAAAATTCTATTTCTCTAGAATTATTCCATTTCGCACAAATTTTATGTCTTGCCATTAGAAACTATTTAGCTTAAAATAATTGAAAAACTTGTATAACTTACAATTCAAACTTTTTTCGAATATTATCTTAAATAATAATGATAAACGAATATTATAATTGAGTTTGACAACTTTTCGATTCGCTTAAAACGTTCCCGAGATATTGCACAATACGCAAATAGTAAAATTAATATTAAAAGGTCCTATCTTTTACATTTCTTTAAGAAAAAAACATATACGTACACAAAAGAAAAAAGAAAAGAAGAATTGCTTGCTTATGGCATTTCATACCAATTTTTTTAAATACGTTTTCATGTTTATGCTTACGAATATAATCCAGTTATGGTTATGTATATGGGTGATTCTCACGAAATAGGACAATTCACTGTCCCTTGCTCCAAGATCTAATACTATAATACTAAAATAACTTTTTTTTTATAAAAATTAATAAAATGCATTGATGTTAGCATTTTAAAATGACTTTGCACTAGCATTGACTGTTTTGTATAGTTAAAAAATTTAATTGAACTTCAAAATGTCATTTTCCTGGCATGTCCCAAACAATGTTTCCAAAAATAACTAGCTTCAAAACATCCCATAAATTTTTCAATATCTAATTTTTTTTTATCTCAACCGGTGTAAGCATTTCTAGAAAATACGCAGAGGGTATTATTTACAAAAACTTCGTTTAAAATCAATAATTTGTTTGTCCCAAGAAAATCTGTCATTTTCCTTTCTACTTTTATTTAGTGGTTTATAACCAAAATAGATAGAGCCAGCAATCAATATCTTATGTTAATAGATTAATTAGATACTCTCCTATATGAACATGTCTTGTTGCATGAATAAAGAACCAATTTTCTGGTTAAAAATCTATTTCAAACATTTTTTCAAAGATGAGTAGGTTTTTGTGTTGTCATTTTCCTGGCTTTTTGAAATAATTAATAACATAAGCTACATAGATTTATCTGAGTTATTTTAAGAAATCCTGTTGTTTTCTGCAGAATGTAAACGTCTTAGGCCAAAATATTAAATTAAAGTTATATGCTATAAAATGGCGAATTTGTCATTATCCTGGCTGTCATTTTCATAGCCTACGAATTCCAGGACATTGAAGTGTTAACAAATTTTTTTTTAACTGCTAATACTGTAAGGAGGAAAAGCAAATATTAACCTAATACCAAGTTTATGTATGATTGTAATATGGTTGGATGTAATCAAAGTTATTTATTTATTTAATGATTGATTATTATACACAATTTTATTCTGTACATATCAACAACAAAAAAAAAAATTGTTTCTTTGTACAGTGGATAAAAAGAATTAATTTAAGCAATTTATGGTCCATCTAACATAAAGGCTTAGGTTGAGTTACTTATTATTAACTTAAAATGAATGTTTTTTAAACTTCTAAGCTAATATGTCATTTTTCAAACATTCAAGATTAGGTGAATTTCTATTTTATTTTTTCTCTCGAGCAAATGTCAATAAACTACACTTCTGTCTGTAAGATATTAATAAGTGTGACTAAAAAAGTATACAAAAAAAATTTTAGATTATTTTGAAAACTTTAATTTTGAAGAAATTTTTTGGTCCGAATTATCATGTTTAAAAAGAATCACCCATATATATCTTGCATATAATATGAATATAATATCATGGTTATGCATACGAATATAATCCAGGAAGTAAGTTTCCAGAAACTTCTGGGAACTGGTAGTAGCTGTGGTCCTCTAACCGATATATTTTTCTACTGATGTTAGAAAAAATGGAACCAAGAGACCTTGACTTCCCGACCGAATTTGATCGTCAAAGGGAAGTGTAAACGGAGAAAAAGTTCTAAAAATGAATTTAATCATATTTATTTAATTTTCATAAATAAATTGATGATGTTAGTTAATTACTCTACTTGGCCATATCTTTCGAAACATATAAAATAAAAAATCTTCGCATAATTAGAATGAGGAAAATATAACAAGAGTTATATTAGAATCTTAATTTATTTTTACTGATTATGCCTAATAAATTAAGTGCTTTTTAGTTACAGGTCTTAATAAATAAAATTTAA